GCAGGGGGTGGTAGACCCCTGGGGCTACTGAGAATCCAGCCCAAGGGTTCACTTGGAATCACATGCTTCCAAGATGTTTAGGATTCTCCGTTCTGTTTTTTTTCCTCTTCCTTCACTCTTCTGTGTGTAGGATTTTTAGCATTTTTCTTGATCAGTCTTGTCTCTTGCTTTTCTCTCTACTCTTCCTCTCCAGTTTCCCCCTTCTTTCGTTTACCCCTCTCCTTTCCATTTAATTGCCATCCCCACCTCAGAAATCAGCTTGCATTTCACATGGACATGTTGGACAGAGCACAGGTGTGGCAGGGGAAACAAGGTTGGTGTGCCAAGCTGAGCTGCCTGCTTATATCCTGAGTCTCTGAGGAGCCCTCTCCTCACAGCCTGCTCTTGGAGCACGACCCGGCTTGGTATTCAGGACAGCTTACACACACTCTGGGTCAACAAGCTTCTCCGGCTGGAGTGCCCTGGAGCAGGTGGTGAGTGACAGGGAGAGAACAGGAAAGGGAACAGAGCACATGGCAAAGGCATGAAACGCTGGCAGTGCTGGGGACAAGGAGCATCTGAGCAGGAGCATGGGGCTGTGAGGAGAACCCATCAGTGTGGACTGATGGCTCCGTGAGTTCTTCATTTTCTTCTACAGATGGGACAAAGTGTCAGAAAGTCACCCCTCCACCCTCTCTGCAGCCAGGGGTAAGGAGGGCAAAGGTCTGGGGGAGTGCACTCAAGGATAAAGTACTTTAGCCTGGGGGGTTTCAAGTTTTTCTTTAATTTGTTTATTTATATTAATGTTTATTTATTTTTGAGAGAGAGCGCACAAGCAGGGAAGGGGCAGAGAGAGAGGGGGACAGAGGATCTGAAACAGGCTCTGCACTGACAGCAGTGAGCCCAGTGTGGGGCTTGAACTTACAAAGCATGAGATCATTACCTGAGCCGAAGTAGGATGCTTAACTGACTGAGCCACACAGGTGCCCCTAAAGTTTTTCTTTTTTCTTTTTTTAAATTTTTTTCAATGTTTATTTATTTTTGAGAGAAAGAGACAGAGTGTGAGTGGGAAAGGGGCAGAGAGAGAGGGAGACATAGAATCCAAAGCAGGCTCCAGGCTCTGAGCTGTCAGCACAGAGCCTGACACGGGGCTCGAACCCACAACCCGTGAGATCATGGCTTGAGCTGAAGTCGGGCACTCAACGGACTGAGCCACCCAGGTGCCCCGCCCCTGAAGTTTTTCTGTAAATATCACCTGGCTACAAATTAGGGTCACATAATTCATCTGAGACTGGGTCACCAGGTTGGTGACCAGCTGCAGCACTGGTGCCAGGAAAGCTCATACAGGTCCTGAGCCACTGAAGCACCTCCCTTTATTCTCTTTTTATGTGGAAAAGGACACCCCTATTTTTAACCAGGTACAAGGCTACATTTTCCAACTTTCTTTGACACTAGGTGTGGCCATGTGATTAAGTTTTGGCCAGTGAGGTATAAGCAGATGTGGCACACCTGGGAGGTATTGTGAGTTCCATTCCAAACCACTGAAACAAAGTGAATATCACAATAAAGCAAGTCAAGTAAATTTTTTGGTTTCCAGTGCATTTAAAGTTAGGTTTATACTATACTGTAGTCTACTAAGTGTGCAGTAGCACCATGTCTAAAGAAAAACCCCTGATATACCATAATTTAAAAAATACTTTATTGCTAAAAATGCTCACTATCATCTGAGGTTTCAGCAAGTCATAATCACTTATCACAGATCACCACAACAATATAATAATATGAAAAATTTTGAAACATTGCAAGAATTACCAAAATGTGACGCAGAGACATGATGTGAGCAAACGCTGTTGTAAAAATGGCACTGATAGACTTGCTCAAAGCAGGGTGGCCACAAATCTTCAATCTGCAGAAAATGCATTATCTGGGGGCACCTGGGTGGCTCAGGTGGTTGTGTCTGACTCTTGATATTGGCTCAGGTCGTGATCTTGCAGTCGTGGGATGAAGTGTTGCGTCAGGCTCTGTACTGTCAGCACAGAGCTTGGGATCCTCTCTCTCCCTCTCTCTCTCTCTGCCCCTTCCTCGTTTATGCTCTTTCTCTCTCAAAATAAATAAATAAACATTTTATAAAATGTATTATCTGTGAAGTGCAGTAGAATGAGGTATACCTATGTAAGACTTCTGGAAATTATACCTGTAGGGAGATGGCATACCCTTTTTTGTCTCTTTTTTCCTGATGCCTGGAATATGAACATAATATCTGGGTTTGAGCAGTTATCTTGGACCATGAAGCGGAAGCTGTGCAGTGAAGACAGTAAAGGAGCAAAACAGGAGCCTGGGTAGCTAATCAGTTGATGGAGTCACAATACCAAGCCTCACTGTTCTTTCCCAACTTAGTTTCTATGAAAGAAACAAATTTCTACTTTATTTAAGCCCTACTCTTTGGAGGTTTCTGTTACTTATAGCCAATCCTAGTCCTAACTAACACAAAGTATGTGCGTAGATATGAGCAGGCTTATGCACTCAGGTGTACATACAAATATATGTGAGCAAGTTTATAGGGACAGCAGGAGTATGGATATTCATTCATTTGCCTACTAATATTAATTGAGCACTCATCAAGTGCAAGTTACCACAATATGACCTATGAGGAAGACAAAGGTGAATCAGAGAGGCACCTTGCTCTCAAGGATTTTTCTTAATCGTTTCTGGCTTATGAACTCCTAGAGAATATAAGGAAGACTTACCAATATTTAAACACACACACACATACACAAATACCCAGAGAGTATTAATTACAATAGCCATATCGGAACCTCCCAGATATACGTGTTCCGTCACCTTTCCTGAAACAAACCAGGCTACTTTTGATTCCTGCCAGGGATGGCTCAAGTTTCATGGAGTTCAGTGCACAGGTGGGGAAGATGGAAAGCAAAGCAGATCCAGATACAGAACACAGTGACCCAGGTTGCAAAACCTCTGGAGATGGAATAGCAGTGATTATGATATAATTGTGATCATCAAGTGTATTAGTTACCTCTTGCTGTGCAATAAATTACCCCCAAACTAACTGGCTTAAACAACAAACACTTATTATTTCCTAGTTTTTGAGGGTTAGAAATTCAAGAGTGACTTGGCTGGGTAGTTTTGTCTTACAGTTGTTCATGAGGTTTTGGCCAAGATGTCCATGAGGGTTGGAGGACCTGCCTGAAAGATGGCTTTCTTCACATGACTATTGGTGGGGGGCTTCAGGTTTTTATCCTGTGGGCCTTTCCAGAGAGTTGGCTTGAGTGTCTTTAAGTGTATTTGACTTCCTTAGAATGAATGAGCCAAACAAGAACAAGGTAGAAAAGCCACAGTATCTTTTAGGGCCTAGCCTTGGCAATCACAGTGTTACTTCACAGTGTTACTTCTACTTCATTTTAAAAATTTATTTATTTATTAATTACTTATATTTATGCATGCTTCATTTTATTTATTAAATATGCATTAAGTCCGGGGCACCTGGGTGGCTCAGTCAGCTAAGTGTCCGACTTCAGCTCAGGTCATGATCTCACACTCCGTGAGTTTGAGCCCCGAGTAGGGCTCTGTGCTGTCAGTTCAGAGCCTGGAGCCTGCTTCGGATTCTGTGTCTTCCTCTCTCTTCTCCTCCCTCACTGATGCTCTGTCTCTATCAAAAAATGAATAAACGTTAAAAAAAATTTTAAAAAATATGCATTAAGTCCAGCCCATACTCAATAGGAGGGGAATAAACACCTTTTTAGAAGAGGATTGTCAAATAAATTGTGGACATATTTTAAAATCATTACACCAAGAAATCTTGTACCTGCTAAAGCAGTTTCTAGGTAGTTTGATAGCAGGAAGAGATTAGGAACATTTCAATCTTGGAAAGCCACATACCCTGGCAGAGTTTATGAGTTGGGCTATGATAGGTTTAGTTAATGTGAATCAGTCTGCCAGATCCTGCTCAGTTGCACCTGAACTGACAAAATTAAGATCTTGGCCTTCAAAGTTGAAGATCAGAGGATATTGCCAACTAATCTCTGAGTTAGCACAGTCTCTGTCCATCCCTGACGCCCCCCTTGTTTCCTCTTACCTAATGCTAAATATATTGTGGACTCAGCCATTCTTGGTGTAACTATACCCAGGGGACAGATCAAAGGTCTAAAAGGGGGCATCTTACACATTTCAAATGGTACAAACAGCCGTGCTCAAAAGCAAAGGTGTTCGCTTAGTTATCTGACCCTCTTTTGGGACAGTTATTTTCTCCCTTGTATTCTAGTCCTGATTCAACCTCCCTACAAAGTGTAAGTTTGCGGGATTATTTATGCATATAGTCTCCCCAGGAATTAGCACACAGCCGGGCAGGAAGGAGGACCATAGCGAATATTTACTGAAAGACTACAAGAATGAATAATTGGTATCCTACAAGAATTCCTTGATTGGTGTTCAGGGAACTTGAACATCAAAAGAAAACTTTGCCTCTCCCTCCCCCTTGCAAATAAGGATTGATTCCCTCCACACAGTTTCTTTTCTCTCATAAAGTCACCGAAGGTTGAGGGAGCTGGGACTTCAGTCTGAAACGCATGTTCCAGGAAGTCCGCAGGTACATAGGCCGTGCATACTGGCCTGTCACCGCAAGTGTCCGTCTACTAAGGGCCAGACTTGGCCTGCGCCTCTTCGCTCCAACAGAACCCCCACCACGGCCCGCCGGGCAAGCACTTTCTGCACCTGGTTGAGTCCCGGCCCCTGTTCCTGCCGCTGCCCCTGGCCTGCCCCGCCCCGCTCTTGCTCAACCCCGTGCCCAGCTTGACTCAGAACTCAGTCACACCCCTAGCCCCAACTGGCTCGCGCCTCACCGGGCTTCCAGACACGGACACGAGACTACAACTCCCGAGATGTCTAGGGCACCGATCGGCCCGAGAGCTCCCCGGCCGCTGATTGGCTGCGCAGCGGGGACGTGGGCGGGGACGGCCGCGGGCCGTGGCGACTGTCTGCACGTGCGCGCGACGGGCGGCCGGATGGCTGTGCTCCGCAGCCTGGCGGCGGTCGGTTCGGTGCCGGGGCTCTGGTGGGGGGCGGCGCGCGCGGCGGCGGGGCTCCGGGGCCGCTGCCCCAGAAGAGGTTACGCCGCCGACTCCGCACAGGTGAGAAAGTCCAGGTTCCCACCGAGCAGGTCCTCAGGGCTGGGGATGGGGCCGGAGCCGCCGGGAGGGAGGGAGGGAGGGGCCGGGCCACTCCGGCATCCCCGGCCTCCTGGGAAATGGCTTTTACTAGGCCACTGACCTCGGTGCGCTTCGTTCTTTCCCAGAGCACGAGTGTCCCTGGCGCGTCCCGCCTCCCCCTCAGTCAGGGGATTTGCCGTGCCTTCGGCCTGAAAGAAAAGTTACTCCAGCTAGAGAATGAACAAAACAAACCCAAAACGCGCACCAGGATTGTTTCTTGGCCGTTCGCTGCTTTCGTCTCCAAAGTTACTCCGCAATTTCTGTGTTTCTGTTTTCCTGGTCAGAGTGTGATTCTTGCATTTCCTCTGTGATTTTTCAGGATGAGAATCTTTCGGTTTTGATATTTCAGCTACATTTGAAAGAGATTTGGGGACTCGCGATAGACTCCCCTCTGGGATCCGCGCCTATATAAACGGACAGCCCAGAGATAAATGTGGGTTTTGTGCGACTTTTTTTACTTTGGTTCCATTCGCTTGTGGGCCGTGCTTATAATGAGCCTCTGTTACATGCAGAATGTAGGGGAAGCTCTGAGGGGCTAGAGGAAGAGAACTGGTGCAGGGTCTCCAATTTGTCCCGGTGCTTAAGTGATAATTCCACAACTTTGGAGGTAGATATAACCCTGCAGTAAGGAAGCTGAAGCTTGGAGCTTGGAGTCAAGTTTTTAAGTACTTTTCTTTGTAAGGTCAAACAGCTGGTGGACAACTGTGCCAGGACCCTAATAAGGCAGGTAGTCAGATCTGGCACCCTCACTTCCCCCTGGGCCATTTGTCTTTTTTTTTTTTTTTTAAGAGGATCACTTCGTTTTCTAAAATCACAATTTCTGTGTGTAATGATGATAATATTATACATTTATGTAGTGCTTTCACGGTAACCCTTTGATAATTTTAAATACTTATTTTTAAAAACAGCACTTTGTGCCACACACTTCACAATTACTAATATATACAATTTTTATGACAACTCTATGAGGTAAGTACTGTTATTCCATTTTACAGATGGAGGGACTGAAGCACAGAGAGGTTAAGCAACTTTCCCAAGGGTGTACAGCTGGTAAGTGGTAGAATCCGGAATCCAGGGCAGTATGGTGCCAGAGTCCTAGCTCCTAACAGCTATGTTATCACTGTTCTCATTTTTGCATATGGAGCAGCTAAGATTCAAAGAAGTTAAGTGACTTGACTAGTGCCACAGAGCTAAAAGTGGCCATGCTGGAAGCATGGAATGAGACTATTTTGGTAAAAGGACTTTTTGTCTTATAACGATTGTATTGACTCTAGCGTCTTTGCAGGTGATATTTCCAAGTGACTTTCTGATAGAGTAGAAAAAGGGAAGAAAGGCATGTAGCATCAGCATTTCAGAGTACTAGCTTTAGAATTGAATCCTGCCTATACTGTTTACTAAATGACTTAAGGCAAATTACTTAGCTTCCTAAGCTTCAATTTCTCCATCTATGTATTGAGGATATTACTTACCATGCAGTGTTTTTGTAAGAATATCTGTAGGGTATTTTCTCTGATATATGTAGGGTACTTTGCACAACGACTGGCAGATAGTAAGTTCTCTTAAATGTGGAAGTGATTGGAGTAGACAGTAAAGTAAACAGTTCTAATGCTGTTGTTGAAAACATACCAAACCAATTCCAGGTTAGAAGCAAAAATACAAAGGAACATCTTAGTAGTCCCTTCACTTCAAACTAATCTTAAAACCACACATTTTGGGGCACCTGGGTAGCTCAGTTGGTTAAGTGTCTTGACTTCGGCTTAGGTCATGATCTTGCGGCCGGTGAGTTTGAGTCCTGCATCAGACTCTGACAGCTCAGATTCAGGATTCCATGCCCCTCCCCTTTCTCTGTCTGTCTGTCTGTCTCTCTCTCAAAAATAAACATTAAAAATAAAACCCAAACCTAAACCATACATTTTATCAGTGCCACAGATAAGAACTTTAGGATTTGGCCTAATACCCAGGACTAGTTAAAAACAAAAGATAACAAAACAAGTGATAGCAGAAGAAAAATCAGAACACAGATACAGAAGAGAATGAAAAGAAAAATGAAAAAAAAAAAAAAAAGAAAGGAGAAGGTCTCTTTCTATATAGATAACTTCATTTAAAGAACTTAATAAACTTTATTTTTTAGAAAAGTTTTAGGTTTACAGAAAAATTGAACAGAAACTGTAGAGGAATCTTATATATATTCCCCCTTCCCCCAGTTTCCTGTGTTACTAATATCTGGGTGTTAATGTGGCACATTTGTTACAATTGGACCTTCACTTTCTTGTTACTGAGTGCTTGGTTTCTCTGTATACATTCATCTAAGGGTTGGAGGTGTATGATTACTCATTTATATAGTTAGAGATGAGGGAGCCTTAAAGACATTGCTAAATTGTCCTGAAAAAGGTTTTCGGTAGCAGGGTCTGTGGATTTTTATTTCTAAGAGAGCAACTTTTGTGGCTATTTAGGATATGGGCATTAAAACTATGTATGGTTAAATTTTGTAGCCATCAGCACAAATGAGACATTTTATTTTTTTTTAACTATGTAAGTTTTCAAAAACCCAAAACCAGTAATATGAACCCATATAACCATCTCCCAGATTTAGCAGTTAATGACAGTTTGCCACACTTGCTTTGTTTATGTTCCTCCCCTCTCTTTTTTCCCAGTGTTAAGCTTTTATTTTTTTATTTTTTGTTTTTTCCAGCTGTAAGATTTTAAAATGAATGGCTGATTTCTTATCTCTTTACCCTCAGATTCTTCTGTGTGTAGAAATGACATTTAAACATAACTACAATACTGTCATACCTAACAACATTAGTAATTCCTTAATATAACTTAATATCCTATCCTTTTATTTTAATGTTTATTTTTGAGAGAGAGAGAGAGGGAGGAAGGGGCAGAGCGAGAGGGAGAGGGAGAATCCCAAGCAGGCTCCGCGCTGTCAGTGCAGAGCCCTCTGCAGGGCTTGATCCCACGACTTTGAGATCATGACCTGTGCTGAAATTGAGAGTTGGACACTTAACTGACTGAGCCACCCAGGTGCCCCCTAAACAATTTTTTTTAATTTAAGTAATCTCTTTCCTCAATGTGGGGCTTGGGGTCAAGAGTCACATGCTCCACCAACTGAGCCAGCCAGGCGTCCAAAGAATGATTTTTTTTAAAAAAAGGACAACATTCAGAGTGCCTGATTGGCTCAGTAGGAGGAGCATGTGACTCTTTATCTCAGGGTTGTGTGTTGTAGCCCCATGTTAGGTGTAGAGATTACTAAAAAAAAATAAATAAACTTAAAAAGGACAATGTTCAACTTTATAAGTTCCAAGAAATACATATTGAGAGAGATACCATTATTTTTAAACTTTTAAATTAACAGGACCTTTGATAATTAACAAACTCTTTGATACATATGAAAATTATTGGCAAGCATAAAGTGCATTACCAGTGGCTGTGTAAGTTGACACATGTTTTTATTTTTTTACTTTAAGCTTTAAGTTTGTTTATTTATTTTGAGAGAGAGAGAGAGAGAATGAGCAAGGGAGGGGCAGAGAGAGGGGGACATAGAGGATCTGAAGCAAGGAGAGCCTGATGCGGGACTTGAACCCATGAACTGTGTGTGATATCATGACTTGAGCTGAAGGCCGATGCTGAACCGACTGAGCCACCCAGGTGCCCCATTTTTATTTTATTTTAGTATTTATTTATTTTTGAGAGAGAATGAGAGAGCGCATGTGAGTGAGCGCACAAGCAGGGGAGGGGCAGAGAGAGAGAAGGAGACAGAGAATCCAAAGCAGGCTCCAGACTCTAAGCTGTCAGTGCAGAGCCCAATGTGGGGCTCAAACTCATGAACCGTGAGAGATCATGACCTGGGCTGAAGTTGGACACTTAACCAACTGAGCCATCCAGGTGCCCTGATACATGTTTTTAGAAAACGTTTGTCAATAGGTTACACATCATTAAAATGTTTGTACTCTTTTTTTTTAAGATGATTTTATTTTATTTTTAAATGTTTATTTATTTTTTAGAGGGGGGAGGGGACAGAGATGGGGACAGAGGATCTGAAGCAAGCTCTGTACTGACAAGAAGCCTGATGTGGGGGCTTGAACTCATGAATTGTGAGATTATGACCTGAGCCAAAGTCAGTCACTCAATTGACTGAGCCACCCAGGAGTCCCAAAATGTTTGCATTCTTGACTTTTTTTTTTTTAAGTGTATTTATTTATTTTGAGAGAGAGAACACAAGCAGGGGAGAGGCAGAGAGAGAGAGAGGATCCCAAGTAGGCTCCATGCCCCAGCGTGGGGCTTGATCCCACAGACTGCGAGATCATGACCTGAGCCAAAATCAAGAGTCAGACACTTAACTGACTGGGCCACCCAGGTGCCCCTGCACTCTTGACTTATTACTCCTACTTTTATGAATCTAGCTTAAGGAAAAACCAGTAATCATGAAGAAGTTCTTTATAACATTATTCATAGTAGCAAAAATGTAGGAAAACGTAAGTATCCAAAATAGGGGGAAATATAATGTTAGTGGAGTATTCACTGAGAATTATGTAGCTAGAAATGATGTTTAGGAGATAGAACTATGTATATTGATATGGAAAGATAAATAAGAGATACCAAAAGGTATCTAAAAAAAAAAGGTCAGAAGGAAAAGAAAATAAAATATAATGCCATTGTGTGTTAGTTAACAGATAGGAAGTTATTACTATAGATTTATAAAAAGTTCCTGGAAACATACAAGATAGGAAACAACACTAAGTGGAAGAAGGAGACAAGAAACTTGAGAAATTTTTTATATCATCTATAGCAATTGAATTTTTTTTTTTAACTTCGTGTGTGTTGTAATAAAATTGTAAAAGATGATTATGAAGGCTGTTGTAACAGATAAAAATATTTGAATGTCAAGCAAGAAGAACAGGATGTAAAATCGAACATATAAAGTGTTGTTGTAGCTATGTGATAAGCATAAGAACAGAAAAAGAAGAGTCTATGGTCATACCACCCTGAACACACCCAATCTCATCTGAAATCAGAAGCTAAGCAGGGTCAGGCCTGGTTAGTACTTGGATGGGAGAAAACAAAGAGATGAGATTGGTTATGTTAAAGTGCTGGAATGTTTTTGAATTTCTGTATTTTCCACTTAAAAATTCTTTTATATTAATTATGTAAAGATAGTTTTAACCAAATACTTATATCCTTAAAAATACATGACAAGGGACTAATTCATTTTTATAGATGGATTTGCCTTATCAGAAATCCCATGTCCTCATTTTCTTTTTTTTTTTTTTTTTTTAATGTTTATTTATTTTTGATAGAGACAGAGCATGAGCAGGCAAGGAGCAGAGAGAGGGAGACACAGAATCTGAAGCAGCTCCGGGCTCTGAGCTGTCAGCACAGAGCCCGACGCAGGGCTCGAACTCACAAACCACAAGATTATGACCTGAGCTGAAGTCAGATGCTTAACCGATTGAGCCACCCAGGCGCCCTCCATGTCCTCATTTTCTATTCAAAGCTCTAGGTGACCTGGGGATAATGAGGCACACCACTTTGTAAGGGTCTTTTCCTTCTTCCCCTTTGCCTCTTGACTCATGCTGTGGTGATTCTCTTTCCACTGTGCAGAGCGCGCCCACTTTTGGGTTCCTGTTGGACATCGATGGAGTGCTGGTGCGGGGTCACAGAGTGATCCCTGCTGCTCTGGAAGCATTCCGTAGGCTGGTGAACTCTCATGGGCAGCTGCGGGTGCCCGTGGTCTTTGTCACGAATGCTGGGAACATCTTACAACAGAGCAAAGCCCAGGAGCTGTCAGCCCTGCTGGGGTTCAAGGTGAGGCAGGTGGAGACATCGAAGCCCAAAGACGTGGTTCTGGTGGCACCCCCCTTCCAACTCTAAGCTGCCTTTCCTGGGTTCGGGCAGTGTTGCATAGCCCTCGGGCATGGCCAGTTGGGTCAGTACTAGAAAATAACTTGAAGTTCAAACTTAGACTCATGAGTAGAGCCTCATCAGCATGGGCATTTTTTTATATATCATTATGCGTTGAGCACAAAAATCCTGCCCATGGATTAGATAGTTTCAGTCTGCTGTCTTTATATCCATTTCTTTTCTAGGCACCAGGATTGTCTGTTTTGGATTGTCAGCCCCTGGAAAGCAAGGGTCACATTTTCCTAAATCTCTGTATACCAGGTGGCACTCTTGTTTCTCATAAATAAGTTGTACACAACTGAATGAACACTGTCCCCCAAAAGCAGTCCCTTTTTGCCCGTTTGGAGCTCCACTTGGTGTATCAACATTGACACATCCTTCTTTGTTAAGGGTGGATTTAGTTTTTGGAAACAGCCCTTTGGAACCAAAAGAATAAATAAAGTGGCTGATTGACTGGGTTCAACATTGCTTGGGGGTGAATGCAGACCAAAAGAGTACAACTGGTTCCCTTCTGTGCCTTCCAGAGAGGGTTCCAAAAACATCGTGAATATTGGCTGCATTGTTGGAGTTTGTATTATATAAATGTTAAAAAGTTAAGTCTTTAAGTAGAACTGAAAACAGAAAGTCAAAGTCAGAGGCATATTTCTGTGACAATGACAAAGAACATGCACATAAACCCTGTGGTCTCCAGTTGGAGGAACTGAGAACAGGTTTGGTGAGTGGTCAGAACCCACGACTAATGGCATTCCCTGCTTGTTTGTTTTTTGTGGCAAGAGCCAAAGTAGGTTCTTTTCACACCTGTTTGGGTAGTGTCTAGAAGTGTCCAGGTGCCAGAAAAGGCTGCCCCCACCTTTTTTCTGCACAGATTTTTTTCCTTTCTAAGTGAAAGAAGCCACCTATCTCCCCATTATTTTCAACTGTTGTGTCACCTCTGCTGTCCTCTGTCTTTGGCTGTCTGTACAGGTGGAGCCAGACCAAGTCATTCTCTCTCACAGCCCCATGAAGCTCTTCTCCCAATATCACAACAAGCGGATGCTGGTGTCTGGGCAGGGGCCCCTGGTGGAAAATGCCCGAGTGTATCCTTTTGGTGATTCTTGCTCTGGCTGAAGAGGAGAGGACAGGACTGGAGTTTTCCTTCCATGGCTGAGGGGGGACCATAGTGAGGTGTTCTGACTGCATGGTGCCAGAGCTTATGGGATATGTGGTAGGCTCTGGAGGGAGGGAGGATGGCTCCCAGGTATGGCCGGTCCTAGTTCCTGATAGTTTCCAAAAGCCAGCCCACTGAATTGGAATCTACTGGGGAGCTTAAAATACAGGTTCTTGGGGGCACTTGGGTGGCTCACTTGGTTAAGTGCCTGATTTTGGCTCAGGTCATGATCTCACAGTTTATGGGTTCAAGCCCCGCATCAGGCTGTATGCTGACAGCTCAGAGCCTGGAGCCTGCTTCTCGGATTCTGTGTCTCCCTTCCCTCTCTCTCTCTGCGCCTCCCCTGCTCATGCTTTCTTTCTCTCAAAAATAAATAAACTTAAAAAAAATATATATAGATTCTTGGTTTACTAGGTCTGAGATTAAAAATCAGCAATCTGTATGTTAAAAGAGAAAACTAATTAGGTTTGGGAACGACTGCTCTAGCGTTGTTCTTTGGGGTGCTCAATCAACTTATCAACTAATATCTACAGTGAACCTTTTGGGTGTGTGTACACTCAAGAGGCAGAAGACTTGGTCCCTGTACTCAAGCAGCTTATTCATTTGCTCATTTTGTGAACCTGTGTTGAGCACTTCCTCTGTACCAGCCCTGTGCTGTGTGCTCTGCAGGGGCAGGGAGACCAAGAGAAGCACATGGGGCTGTGTCTTCCTCAAAAGGTTCATGCTTGAGGAGGTAGGAGTAGCACACCCAGAAAGGATGCAGGAGTGTTTAAGATGATACATGATTGAAGACCAAGGAGTGCAGTACAGGTTCTGAGAGTCACAGGTGTTGGGAAGGGAGGATCTGGGAGTGGGAATGACTGGTGGCTTCATGGAGGGATGTGGCTGTGCCACGGGAGATGGTTATGGTTTTCCATGCGGGGAAGGAGGTAAGGATGCTGAAGAGAGCAGGGAAGACATGGATCCCCAAAGCAGGAGATTGGATTGGGACAGGGTGGGGAATGAGAAGAGGAAGAGTGGTGTCTCGGAAAGGAAACCTCAGAAGTAAGGGCAAGAGGCCAGCGAACTTACTTATGTGGGCAGGAGAGTCATTGCAGGTGTTGTTGCTGTTAGGGTGATCTAATGGAAGCATTTTTGAGAGATTCATTTTGAAAGTAATCTGAAACCATGCCCAGTTAAGATTTTAAGTGGGAATTGAGGGCAAGAAAATGGAGGCAGGTCTTGGAGAGGTGAGGTTGGTTGGCACTGGCATTCCACTCTTCGTGGCCTCCCCAAACTGTCTGAATCTGGCTTCTCCTCAAGAGTTAGCTCACGTCTGACTTCTCTAGACTCTGTCCAGCTACCAGCCCGCTGAGGAGTCTCCTCTTTTGAACTCAACACATGTGGCAGCACTGTTCACAGAGTGCTGGTTTAAATGGGCCCTGGGCATGTAGTGAGCTTGAGGCCAGAGATTCTTGTGTGCTTCTGTGCCCTGGTAGTGCCCAGCATAGGACCTGGTACCGGAGTGTGCCCAGTGACCACCAATGCATTCAGTGATGGTGTGCATACATGCTCTGCCTGTGCAGTCATGGCTTGTCCTCCAGGATTGCCATGGGCCTTGCGGGGCTGTGTCTGGGCTCTCACTGGTTTACTCCTGTCTGGGGATTGGGTGGACTAGTTTGGTTGGGACTGTGTTGGTTCCCCTCACCTTAGAGGCATCTCCCAGAAGTGTCCAGCTTTGCTTTCCTAATCTTGCTGTAGACTGGGCTTTGAGAATGTGGTTACTGTGGATGAGCTGCGAATGGCCTTTCCTGTGCTTGACATGGTGGATCTCCAGCGGCGGCCAAAGACCACGGTAATAATGAGCATGCTCCTGGGTGTCTTGTGTTTAGTTTTGTCCTCTTATTCCCCACATGGATTCTTCTTACCAGCCTTGCAACCCCTCCCACTAAGAACTTCATCTTATCCATCTTGGAGAGGCATATCTGGCCAAGGATTTTGTTCCCCAGATACACAAGGATGGCCCAGAAGAGCAACTGGCTCCTAAGGGCTTTCCTTTCTGCATCGTTTGTAATTAGCTGAGAATCCCTTTCAAAGCCTTAGCATTTCCAGTGAGGAGTTTTATATTTTACAAACTGGCTTTTTGAGTGTTGCTTGGGAGAATCATTAACCTTTGTGAAATTAATCATTGCTGCTACTTTACACTGAAGCTTGCTGTGGAAAGTTGTCGTTATGAGAAACAGCTTGCTTTTAAAAGTAACCAGCAATTCTGAGTATGTCCATATTCCTTGTGGGTTTGGCTCTTATTTGAACCACTGGTTTGACTTGTTATCTCTTCTGATCACTAGTTACGGAGCCTCTCGTTGATCTTTTAGAGTATGACTGCCCGCCCTTGATGGCCTTTGGCCCCCCTTTCTCATGTGAACTCTATGTCATATGGCCTACAGTTTAAGTCAAACCACTGTCAAAATATGGAAAAATGTAGTTATAAACAAACAAGCTTAACTTTTGTTTATGTAGCCTTAGTCCTTTCTCTGGAACTTTCTGATTGAATAGAGCACTTCATTGCCTTTGAAAGCTTTCTTCTAGGACCATGCAAATTATGTGGAGAACTCGAATGTCAGAGTTGGAACAGATCTTAGAGCAGCTCAGAGACTGAGCCCCGTGCAGAGGAAAGGACCTGCCCCAGGTCACATAGCTGGTTAGTAGTAGTGCCAGGACTAATAGTCTAGAAAAGGAACGGACTCCAGGAGATTGGTAAACTGAAGACTCCTGCCTCCTCATCTCATGTTGAGAGAAATGGTCCATCATGCCCTGATGGCCTCCCTTTTCTCCATAGGCTTACCTTCATTTGAGCTACCTGATTCTAGACTCTTGCTTGGCTTATAACTTACCTCCTGTCCTGAAGAAGGACAGCTGACTAGCCCTTCCTCCTGGGAGACTTTCATATGTGGGTTCCCTCAGACTGTTCTGTGGTAGCCCTGCTCTTTCTCTCTTTACTTTTCTTTGTAAATTTTCTTCCTCAGTCCTATCTGGCTTATCCTTGGCTTGGACTAGGCCTGGGAGTGGTCTTTGATCTGTCTAAAGTGTGTCTTTCCTCCTGCTACCCCTTGAAACTGGTTGTGTGGCTGTCTGGTAGTGGACTGCGACTGTGGCATTAATGGGCCTATTCTTTGTCTCTTGGCAGCCCCTTCTAAGGAACGACTTCCCTGCCATTGAAGGTAATGAGGTCCTCTGCTGGGATGGATAGGCATGGCTCTGGGTGCTTCTCCTTTTGGCCCTCCAGGCTGTCCTAGTGCTGCTCTGTGCCTACAGACTGGTAGGGTTGCTAGGGGCGTTGGATGTCAGTTCGTCTGGGTTCTAGTCTCAGATCTGCCACTTACTACTTCTGAGACATTTGTTTTTAATCTTTCCTTCCCCATGTCACTTGCCTTAGTATTCCAGAAAAATTGTAAGTGTAGAAAATCTAAGCATGGAAAGGCCCCCAGAGGTTATCTAAACCAGCGTTTCACAGCTCCATTAAACCCAGTTCTCCCTTGTATAACAAAAATACCATAATGTCCTCTTTACTACTCTGCAGTGAAGTTCACTGATACTGTATATTAATTGAATACATACTGAATAATACTGTATATTAAAAATTAACTAGTTCAATGTAAGCCCTATTTATGTATATACGTATGTATGTATGTGTGTATGTATATATTTTGAGAGAGAGTGCGTGAGTCGGGGAGGGGCAGAGAGAGGGAGAGAGAGAGAGAATCCCAAGCAGGCTCCGCACCATCAGTGCAGAGCCCAATGCGTGGCTTGAGACCACGAGCCATGAGATCATGACCTGAACCAAAGTCAGACACTTAACTGACTGAACCACCTAGCTGCCCCTAAAGCCCTAATTGTAAGAGGGAGAGATAAAACAAACATTTTTTAGTAAGGTAATATGTACTTCAACATGTAAATGATTATTCAAGAAGACATAATAAAGTAGTGAAATAATAATACAAAACATGGAATCACCATGAATGTTACAGCTACAAATGCAGCCTGATGTAAGTGTGATAGGTGTGATATAGGTGTGTTTTATTTGTGACTCAGAAATTAGGGGCAGCATTGTCATTGGTGAAGTGATTTTCCAAAATAGGGAACAGCTATTGGTAAAGTTTTGGAAAGATAAAGTGCAGTCTTTTCTTGACTTACATGATAGTTGCATTTTTGGAAAATGAGTGTGTATGAAAACTCTACCAAAAAATACTTTATGTTTACATGTAGAATTAAATTAGGGCTTAAGCTCAATTAATTATAAATAGGTTTTTCACCTTTGTGAATGTCAGATGGAACACTCAAATGTTAATAGGGGCCAGTTTTTGATTGTTTAGTAGGAGTGTCCTGAGCATCTAGCATTCTTGGCCCCCTCCCATGATCCCTTGCCATGATCATTACAATTAAAATACATCCTCTAGGGGTGTCTGGGTGACCTAGTCAGTTAAGAAACCAACTTCTGCTCAGGTCATGATCTCACAGTTCGTGGGTTTGAGCCCCGTGTTGGGCTCTGTGCTGACAGCTCAGAACCTGGAGCCTGCTTCGGGTTCTGCGTCTCCCTCTCTCTCTGCTCTTCCCCCACTCGCTTGCTTTCTCTCTCTCTCTCTCTCTCAAAAATAATAAATAAACATAAAAAATAAAATACACCCTCCAGTTTCTAGAACACCTCCCTAGGGGGCAGTACTTCCCCCTTGAGACCACCGGTTTTGTTCAGTCGCTGGCCTTGTAGCTTATATTGGCAGCTACCATTTGCTAAGTGCTGTGTGTCCAGCATGGGTTAAGTGCTTTATTACATCATTTTTATCCTAAACAATAGTAGGTATTGTTATTACATACTTGGGAAGGCCGAGGCTTAGAGAAGGTAAATAACTTGCCCACATTCACAAAGGAAAATTAACAGGGACTTGGAATGCAGGTCTGTGTCACTCTGGATCCCCCTGTCCTAGCTGTTAGGTTTACAGGCCTCTGGGGCTCAGAGAGAAGTGGCTGAGGAAGATGAGCCCTTTGCCAGGTACTTGTGAGTGAGGTGGTCAGGAGAGCATTAGTCCATCGGAGGAAGCAGGCTTGAGACTTGGCTGCTGGTTTTCTTTGTTTTCACCTCTTCTGTGAAGTACTGGCGAATACAAGTGAAAGTGGGAGCCCTTAGGAAGTGCCTTCCTGGGTCCTGGGCTTTGTTCATCTTGGTGAATGGGTGAGTGGCTCTTTGAAGGCTGGTTCTGGGAACTGTGCCCTTGCAGGGGTGTATACTGTGGAGGAAGAGCTTGTGGTTGGTTGGTGCCAGCTGGCATCAGCTGGCCTTCTAAGGGCCTTCCTCCCTGCAACCCTCACCTCCATGCCTTTACTCTTTAAAGGGGTACTCCTCCTTGGGGAGCCAATCCGCTGGGAGACCAGCCTGCAGCTGATCATGGATGTCCTTCTCAGCAATGGGAACCCTGGGACTGGTCTGGCAACATTCCCCTATCCCCATCTTCCTGTCCTGGCCAGCAACATGGATCTCCTTTGGATGGCTGAAGCCAGGATGCCCAGGTGAGGACACAGAGTCTCTGGGTTTGACTGTGGTGGCCACTGCCATCTGTTGCCTGGGTGGTCCTGCTGACAGTTTCCTACCATCTGGGCGGTCAGTACTCTGGGCGGTCAGACCCCTGCCTGAGCAGAACCCATATTTGTCACAGAAACTTAATCTTCTGGGAGGATTTTCAATGGGTCACTTCTAATTATTAAATGAAAAGTATAGCTTACAGAACATTGAAGATATGTTGAGATGATCTTTAACGCATGATCTTTGCCCTCCAGAATCTTAACAGAACATGTTATTTTTTTTAAGATTTTTATTTTTTTTAAGTTTATATATTTTATTTTCAGAGGGAGAGAGGGAGAGAGAATCCCTAGCAGGCTCTGCACTGTGAGCCCAGAGCCTGATGTGGGGCTTGAACTCACGAACTGTGAAATCATGACCTGAGCCAAAATCAAGTCGGATACTTAACCGACTGAAGCAACCCAAGTACCCCTTTTTTAAGATTTTTTATTTTTTAAAGTAATCGCTATCCCCAACGTGAGGCTTGAGCTCATGACCCCTAGACCCCTAGACCAAGAGTTGTGCACTCCACCGACTGAGCCAGCTGGGCTCCTCCAGAACATGCTGTGTTTGCCTATGGAGCCCAAATGATGGATGACTTCTGAGGCCAGCAGTACAGCTGCTCCTTGCATTGTCCCTGTAGCACGAGTTCTTTGTTGTTTCTTTCTGCCCTTAAGATGTAGGGCGGGGTATGCAATAATTATTCTGATGATTGTGTAGGCCAGAGAGCTTGAGACCCAGTGGGTAAGTGACTTTCTCAAAGGCACATTGATATTGAGCAGGCCCATGTTCTCTCCTCAGCTGTTTAAACCTCATCTGGCGTGTCCTTTTTGGAGGCTAAGAACGGTCTAGGCAGCGCTTTTCCTAGCCCTTGAGGGCCTTCCTGGAAGGGCAGCTATGGCTATTGTGTACTGTATGGCTGCTCTTAATCTGCAGGCCCAAAGTCTAGAGTTTTCTTTCTCTGCTACTTACTGATTCCCAGTGCACTCTGTGAGTGATCCATCAACAGAGGGCAGCAGGCCCAACACTTGATGTGACTGAAGTCATGTCACTCATTAACTCCAAAGAGATGAGTGTTACAAGTGTTCCCTTGTTACTTTAAAAGATATATTTCTGCAGGGGCACTTGTGTGGCTCAGTCGGTTAAGCATCCAACTCTTGATTTTGTCTCAGTTCATGATCTCACAATATGAGATCGAGCCCTGCATTGGGGCTCTGAGCTGAGCATGGAGCCTGCTTAGGATTCTCTTTCTGTCTCTCTCTGTCTGCCCCCACTTGTGCTTTCTCTTTCTCTCTCAAAATAAATAAGTATTTTATAAAACGTATATTTCTGCATGCTGAGGTTAGATATTTTTTCTGAAGTATTCTTCCTATAGTTAGTGTGTGCTGACACTAGGTGAGAGGGGTTTGGTTATGTAGGCTGGAACTGAATAGCCAGGGGCAAATTTCAGTTTATAAACTAAATTTGAGATTGATTTTCTTTCTTTTTTTTTTGTTAAGTGTTTTTATTTATTTATTGAAAGAGAGCGTGTGCAAGGGAGGGGCAGAGAGGGAGGGAGAGAGAGAATCCCAAGCAGGTTCTGCACTGTCAGTACAGAGCCCGACGCAGGGCTTGAACTTGTAAACTGTGAGATAATGACCTGAGCTGAAACCAAGAGTCGGACACTTAACCGACTAAGCCACCCAGGCACCCCAAGATTAATTTTCATTCAGTAATTTAAAAATTGAAAATAAAATTTGTCACATAAATAAGTGACACTGAAATACAAGTTTATTTGTTTTTTAATTATTTTTAAATTTTCTTTTTTTTTTAATATATAATTTATTGTCAAGTTAGCTAACATACAGAGTGTACAGTGTGCTCTTGGCTTTGGGGGTAGATTCCCATGGTTCATTGCTTACATACAACACCCAGTGCTCATCCCAACAAGTGCCTTCCTCAATGCCCATCACCCATTTTCCCAGCCCCCATCAACGCTCAGTTTGTTCTCTGTATTTAAGAGTCTCTTATGGTTTGCCTCCCTCTGTAACTTTTTTTTCCCTTTCCCTTCCCCCATGGTGTTCTGTTAACTTTCTCAAGTTCCACATATGAGTGAAAATATATGATATCTGTCTTTCTCTGACTGACTTCTTTCACTTAGCATAATACCCTCTAGTTCCATCCACGTGGTTGCAAATGGCAAAATTTCATTATTTCTCATTGCCAAGTAGTATTCCATTGTATGGATATACCACATCTTCTTTATTCATCCGTTGATGGACTTTTGGGCTGTTTCCATACTTTGGGTATTGTTGAAAGTGTTGTTGTAAACATTGGGGTAACATGTGCCCCTATGCACCAGCACTCCTGTATCTTTTGGATAAATTCCTAGTAGTGCTATTGTTAGGTCGTAGGGAATTCTATTTTTAATTTTTTGAGGAACCTTCACACTTTTCCCTAGTGGCTGCACCAGTTTGCATTCCCATCAACAGTGCAAGAGGGTTCTTGTTTCTCCACATCCTTGCCAGCATCTGTTGTTTCCTGAGTTGTTATTTTAGTCACTCTGACTGGTGTGAGGTGGTATCTCAATGTGGTTTTGATTTGTGAAATACAACTTTAATATGTTGGACAGTATCTGTTAAGATTTGGTTTAGCAGCCAGGGATGAAAACCCAAAACAAAAGTGTCTTAAACAAGATAGAAGTTTCTTTCTTTCTCATGTTAAAGAAGTATGTGGTAAGCAGTCCAGGGCTTGTGTGGAAGTCCCACCTATCTGGGACAGGCTCCCTCTGTCTTCCTGCTGTGCAATCCTTGGCTCTTTACAGCATAATCCAAAATGGCTGCCTGAACTCCAGCCGCCATATCAGCATTCCAGGCAGCAGGAAGGAGTGGGGAAGGATGGAACAATTTTATACTCCCCAATTTTACACTTGCTAATAGTTTAGCCCAGCACTTCTGATTTCATTGACTCTTTGCCTGTAGCTTATTCACATGGCTGCTCACCTCGCTGCAGTGGAGGCAAGGGAGTACTTTTTACATCGGGTCACAATATGGTAAGCTGCAAATTGACACTGAGAAAGAAGGGGAGAATGGCAACCAGTAGTCTCCACAAATTTAAAGCTGAATTTAAACTTCAGTTTGTTGAGTCTTGACTGCTTGGGTTGTAATCCTAGCTCTGCCATGTTGGGCAAATTACTTAATCTTTATGCCTCAGTCTTCTCACTGTAAATGAGGAGAATGACTGCTCTTTCATGGGGTTATTCTGAGAGGTAAGTGTGATATGCCATCTCTAGTGCTCAACAAATGTTAGTAGATAACAGCAGGTCATAAAAATAGGTAATGTCATTCTTACTAGAAATAAGTTCACTTACCTGTCACCAACAGGGTGCTGGAGTGAAAGGTATAGGGTCCTGCTTAGGGCCTGTGAGGGGAGGCCTGAACTGCTGAGCTCTCTTCTCTGACAGGTTTGGCCATGGCACCTTTTTGCTGTGCCTGGAAACCATTTACCGAAAAATGACGGGCAAAGAGCTGCGATACGAAGGCCTGATGGGCAAACCCAGCGTCCTCACTTACCAGTATGCAGAGGACCTGATCAGGCTGCAGGCGGAGAGGCGGGGCTGGGTGGCCCCCATTCGGAAACTCTATGCTATTGGGTAAGTGCTGCTGCAGCTTCTCATCCCTTTCAAGACTCCCCCTGCTCTTCCTCCATACCTGATCACTCCCTTGTTTCCTTGTATCAAATGCACGCCAGTTCCACAGCTGTCCTTCGCTTTCTTTACCTTGTAACACTGAACTGGGTTTTTTTTCTCTTTCCTTTTCTGGTATGGCTACCCCTGCCAGTGATAATCCTATGTCTGATGTCTACGGTGCCAACCTGTTCCACAAGTACCTGCAGATGGTGAAGCATGATGGGGCAGAGAAGCAGGGGGCTGGTGGCTTGTGGAGGCAACGACCCTCAGCAACGCAGAGCTGCGCCTCTATCCTGGTGTGCACTGGTGTGTACAATCCCAAGGGTCCAGAGCCTACCCAGCCTGTCCAGGGTGCAGAGGAGGCTCCATTCCACGGGCACCGGGACTTCAGCTTCAGCCCGGGGCTCATGGAGGCATCCCACATCGTGAATGATGTGAACGAGGCGGTGCAGCTGGTTTTCCACAAGGAGGGTTGGATTTTATAGTGAGGGCTGTGCATTGGAGGCAAGGGGGCAGGAGGGGCCCTGGAACATTACGGGAGTCCTGTTGACTAGCTTCTGGCCCAGATCGCTGGGCATCAAGTCAGGGCTGCTTCCTGTGACACTTTCTGCCGCCCCACGGGGTGTTATTAACTGGTCACTTAGAAGAAGACACTGTTTTTCTTCTCCTGCTGGGCAATAGCCACAGAATTGTATCTGGGTAGCATTTTGGGTAGAACAGTCAGGATTTTCTGGGCTCAGTTCCTGTCTGATTCTCCTGGCAGTCTGACCTCAGGCTAGTTCCTTTACCTCTGTGCCTCAGTTTCATCTCTCATTTCAGTAGGGACTTCTGAAAAAAGGGGAAGTGGTAGGAAATAATGTGGAAATTTCTACAGAGCCTTGCCTGCATTGAAGGCACTACTACTACTACTGCGTCACTGCATGCCAGCAAGGTATGTCGCTAACACTAAGATACTGCTTTTTATTGTATTTTAGCTTATTGCCCAGAGACTTCTGGGCTTATTTTTTTAAATTGAAATAATCATAATAAAAATTCATTATGCTGTCTATTGTGAAGTGCTTCCTGGAAGGTACTAGAAAGTCCGGTGGGGGAAGAGTAGTGGGTGAGCAGTGTGGGTGATCTTGAAGCAAAGAGATTGGTGCCATTTTGCTCTCATAAGGTGCTGATGTCTCTGCTTTCCTACCTCTGTTCTCCCTCTGTTCCCTGTTCTTCCAACCCACCCCCGACCTGCAAAGCCTGAGTCTGTCTAGGAATTAGTTATGCCCAGGCTTTGGTATATACTTGGCAACTTCTCTGATACGGAAAAAAAAGATCTTGCTTATGGTTTGTTCAGAAAGAACAAATCACACAGAATCCTGTGTGATTCTGGAAAGAATGTGTTTCTTATATTTCTTCCTCTACAAGCAATCCAATTTCACTTTCCATGGTCTGTGTTGCCAAATCCCTTGGTCATTTCTTGCCCTTGTGTTACTCCAGCAGTCATTTGCATGTGACACAAAGCTGATGACTCCCTCCCCTCTTCTCAAAATACTCTTTACTTCTCTGATATCTCGCTGACTTCCTGACCCTTTTGTTTGGATGCCTGGTAGTCATTCAGAGGGAAAGAAACATAGGAGATTGAGAAGGAGTGGCCAGTGAAATAGAGTCACAAGAGTCTAGGAAGCTGAGTGAACATGTTTCACAAAGGAGGGAGTGATGAGCTGTGCTCACTCTAGAAGTATCAGAGCTTGGCTGTGTCCAAAGCTGAGTGCAGTCTGACCTTACTCCTAGCACCCTGAGCAGCCTGGGTCCTACTCTGGGTCCTGCTGCAGCCCCCGCCCCGTAGACACAGCACTGAAGATAGTAGGCTGAAGGCTTAGACACCCTTGTCTTCTCTCTCATCTCCTACGGCCAGTCCATCAGCACATCCTGCAACTTTGCCTTCAGAATGTACCCAGAGTGTGAGCATTTTATAGCCTTCAATGCCTCCCTGCTCCAGACTGTTGGCTCCTCTGGCCTGCGTTGTTGCGGCACACTCCAGTCTGGCCTCCCTGCCTCATCACCTCCTCCCTCCCCACTGCTTTCCACTCAGTAGCCCAGAAGCAAAATCCTAAGTTTGACCTCTTCTAGGATCAAAACCCTCCATGACTTTTCATCTCAGAGGAAAAGCCCACATTCTTTACTGCAGCACAAATGCCTCTACATGCTGTTCTTTCCCCTTCATGTACTAGCCCTGCTGGCTCCCTTGCCAATCCATCATACCCATTCCTGCCCCCGGGGCTTCTGCACTCATGGTTCCCTCTGCCCTACTTCCACTGTCCACATGGCTCATTCTATCTCTTTCCCCCCTCATCACTTGTTCAGTGTCTGGTGGATATGTCCTCCCAAGAAGACTCCCTCAACTTCCTATAACAAATAGCATTCTTAATTCCTTAATTTTTTCCATAGTCCTTATTACTCGTGACCTATGTCTACTTCCTTTTTTTTTAAGTTTATTGATTTATTTTGAGAGAGACTGTGCATACATGCACAAGCGGGGGAGGGGCAGAGAGAGAATCCCAATCAGGCTCCACACTGTCAACACAGAGCCAGTCACAGGGCTCAGACTCATGAACTGTGAGATCGTGAGCTGAGCTGAAGTCGGACACTCAACCAACCGAGCCACCCAGGTGCCCCCAAACATGATTTTCTTTTTTTCTTCTCCTTTGAGGATTATGGCAGAAGTGAAGAGACTAAGGGTCTTGGAGTCAGACAGACCTGGAATCAAATCCTAGCTGTCATTCACTAGCTATATGGCCATGGGCAATTTCCTTCATTTCTCCAAGTTTCCATTTTCTCATCTGTAAAACTGGCATTGGCAGTGTGTATGTCATAAATGAACTATTTTAAGTGCAGTACTGTATCATTTAGGATTTTGTTCAGCTGCTTATTACAGAAATCTGACTACAGTGGCTTGAACAAATAGGTGGTTATTTTTCTAAGCGATAGGAAGTTCAGAGTAGGCATTTCAGGCTGGGGAAGAAGCTCAAGGGTGTCATCAAGGACTCAGGTGCTTGGCCTACTATCCTTAGCATGTATGTTTGTCCAATTGCAAGATGGCTCATCTACCTTCCAAGGAGGATGGAGAAAAAGGTGAAGACAAAGCAAGTGGAGCTGGATTCCTTCAAAAGAACTTTCCCAGAGGTTCTACTTTAGGACTTCAGTTCTGTCTGGTTGACTACAGGTGGATCACACAGATGCTGGTAGCTACAAGGAGGCAGGGACAGGGCACAGTGTTGCTCAAATGAAATCCGGGTCTGTCTGTTTGGAAGACTAGTAGAATGGATGTTGAGTAGGCAACTAGTAGTACAACTCCAGTGCCTGGGACCCACAAGCATTTAACTGAGTATTTCTTCAAGTGCCCTGAGCAAGTGGGTAAAGCCCTGGCCTCAGGAGTACCTTGTCTAGCAGTCATCTGATGACGGCATCTGGCTGCATCTGGCTGGCAGTCTTGCTAGATTCCATTTGTACCTCGCTTAAGCTTTTCCAAAGCATTGTAAGTTCAACAATGTTCATCCTGTTTTGTTAGAGCCTTCTAAAGCCCCTAATGAAGAGAGAATTTTTACCCTATTTTTCTAAAGGAAGGCACCAAGGCACTATTTTACTTTGATTTCAGAAACATTTATTGATGATCGCCTAGGTGCCAAACACCATTCTAGGTGCCGTAGCAATGACCAGTCATTGGCAACAATACCTGCTCTCATGGTGCTTTACCTTTCACTGATGATGTGTCCAGTCAGTTAGCAAATGGAGAGGCTGGGTCTGCAGTTCAGTCTCCTGACTCTGAGCCCAGTATTCTTCCTGAGACACACACCAAAGACTCTCCTACCCTTAGCCAGCCTGCTGCCCTTCTCCAAGCATTGTTTTGTATCCTGGAGCAGTTGCTGTTGTGCATACAGCCCATGTGAGCTCTCCTCGGGCCAAATAGGTCAAGCTTACCAAATGGAATGACAGGTGAGTGCAGAAATGAGTTGGAAAATAAAGGCAAGTATGGCTATATGGGGAGGAATCATGCCAGAGTCAAGACTCCCTTGCTCCACATTGAAATGACAGAATGACAGCATCTCTGTGCCTGTCTACCTCTGGCTCTGTCCCTTTGGCTGCCTGTCATTCTGACTGTGTAGTCATTTCTCTCTCTTACTTGTTTGGGTTTCCTGAAGATCTCACAAGCCATTCCAGACCGGGTGCCAAAGAGCAAGTGTATACAATGGTACTTACTCAAATCTGTGTCAGAGGACAGGGCCAGCCAGCCGCTCAGCTCCAGTGCCAATCTTGTCCCTTAGGGGCTTTGTCTAAACTACAGAACCAAAACTCACAACCAACTGCTTCATTTGCTCAGTCCCAAACTGAATGAAAATACTACTTTTTTGTGTTTCGATGGAGCCAAGTGAATACAAAACAAAAAAGACTTTGTAAGTCAATTTGAACATCAAGTAAGCCACGCACTGTCCGTGCTGAGCCTGATGTAGCGTCCACGCCCACAAACTGTGAGATCATGACCTGAGCTGAATCAAGAGTTGGACACTCGACCGACTAAGCCACCCAGGCACCCCAAGTATTTTTAATAAAAGTATTAAGCTGGAACAAAACTATATCATGAGGGGTTCACACTGAACAGAGAATCACCTTGGGTCTCTTCAAGTCATTACCTTGGAGCCAGAACATAGAGGCACTTCCTTGGTGTTCCCCTTGGTGGCAGCAGCTCCCGGCCTCCTGAGGACACCTCTAGGCTGCCAGAGGCAGGTGCATCGAGCAAGTTGGTAATCAGAACTCCCAGCAGAGTTAGGGTTGCCATAGCAACTGGATGCTGCCCGAGGGTGGAATTTTAAAATATCACAGCTATAATAGTGTTTATTTCCCCCAATCACTGTCACTTCCCCAGTGCTGCGTGGTGCTGCTGAGGCTGGGGCCATCTTGGGACGCCTGTTTCCCTGCCTGGGGCTTTTGGCAGCTTTGGGGGTTGGAGGTGGGAGGATTGTCTCAGGGTGTGAACTGCTGGGAAGCTGACAGCTTCAGCTTTTGCTTCCAGGCTCCTCTAGCTCTTGGTTCCAAAAGCCTTCTGTCATTTTCTATATTTTGGGAGGTTTAGAAGAGGGGTCTAGCTTTATACTCTCTCCACTTCCTCCCACTGTGATTTGAGTGCTCTGACTTACACTCCTACCAGATCAGACTTAGCATTCCTGGGACTTCTCTTTGGAGAGGGGAGGGGCATATCCCCTCTTGTCTGCTTTTTTCTTTGGACTTTCTAACTTCCTCTTTCAGCTTCATTTATTTACTTACAAAATGACCATCAAGTACCCAAGGATAAGAAGTGAGAAACTGCCCTGGTCTTGAAGAAGCTCATTGTATTGACATTGGACTTGGGCCCTATCCAATTCCAAACATTTTTACAAACTTACACTAATTAAGACAGTGTTCTGTTGGCAGAGGGATACAAATCAATGGGACAAAATAGCATGCAGAAGCA